CCAAAAACAAGACCTAATGGTCTGCTCGTTCGTTCCGTAGCTTAGTTGTGGGAGCGTCAACCACGGCATGGCGAGGTCGCTGGTACCGGCCTGGTACAAGTCCAGCCGGATCAAAAGAATATTCCTTTGTGTTCAATCTTTGTATTAATAGTTATGAAAAAACTAGTGGAGTAATATTATGATAGTAATCGTGATATTCGATAAACTTAAACTTTAGTATACAAGTTTGAAAATTCCATAACACGTTTTGATCGATCCAACATTTTTGTATTTAAACTTAGGACATTTAATAGTATAAATACAAAGTGGCTCGAATTATGAACCCGAGAGTGTATATAAAATAAATATTGCAAATGATAAATGTTTTCAAATGCAAAACAAAGAACAACCCCTAGCGTTTCTTACTCATTCTTCTCAGGGGAATCTGCCTTACGAATGAGTATTAGGGTTCGGTATGACGTATTAAATGTAATTTAATACGTTAAAATATCATAGATTTTTCTTTTCCTTTTCCTTAGTTATGTTTAGATAAATGTTTACCTGCTGTTACAAGTTTAATCTCGATGTAAAAAACTATGTGCGTGCCAACAAGTTAGATTTTTTTCACACTTGTATTTTTTTATATCAATTTATTTTTTGTTCTCAACTCAGTTTTGTCTATATTCTTTCAAGTAGTTTTCGTAATCAATTCGAACGTCCAGACAAATAGGAACAAAAAACCCCTGCGAATACTAGAACCGTAAATGTATGCGTACTTACATATGTATTTTCTTAAACAAAAAATCATAATAAACACGTCAAATAATATGCGTGTATTTATTTTTGTGACAATGTCAGATTTCTTTGTTAAAGATTGTATTTTATGATATTGATTGTAATTAATATTATGAAGTTTTTCTACCATTTGTGAAATTACTCCTTCCTAGTTATTATACTTTATTTCGCTTACAATACGATTAAATCTTGCAGTTTCAATTATTTTCAATAGTACTATCACTTTTTATAGTTTGTACTATTGAAAATAATTACTTTACTTGATTGCCTTTTTACATCGAGTATATAACCAGAAATAGAGACGAAATAAGGGCCATATGTTCCTGGTAACACATTAGCGACACAGCTATTATAATATCAACTCTCGTTTGCTCTGAAATATAGACAGGCCAACTACTGACCTGTGTGTACGCCTCCGTATATTCCAAAAAATATTCTGTATTTATTGTAATAAAGATAATATCTCTAATAATACTGTGCTGTTTACTTGTGTATTCGGTGATGTGGGAAAAACAGCAAAACATCTCATTACAAAACAGACGGAATCATTTTTCATCGGTAATTAAATATTAAATATGTAATTTTGCAATTTTCGTCCATTATAGCAAAGCTCAAGTTAACTGGTCGATTTGAAGTGAACCAGTTGCCGACACCCGTCAATTGTTTCGAAATAGGGCTAGCCAATCGGAGCGCAGTTGTCACAGTAATGATATGGCAGAATAGTTTTCAAACAAATTAAATGACATTTCACCTCTATTTCTGGTTATATAAACGATGCCTTTTTATTATTTCGGAACGGTTACACACTCCATGGCCACGGGTTGAGTGACAAGCGGCATTTGACAGCTTTAAGAACAGACATATCTGTCTACCCTCTTTCGCTGTCATCGACACTACCCTCATCTCGATTTCTTGCGGCATTGCCATTGTCACTTAACTTTTTCCGATAAACCACACTCAAGTGAATGGTAAGAAATCTGCAATATGGCGAAAATCTTAAAATCTGGACGGATAATTTGCATTTGACGCTCAAACTATACAATACAGGAGCACTGGCGTTAAATGCAACTATTATCAGGCTGAATGAGGTCCTACCGTATAAGCAGATTGCTGAATTTGTCTCAACTCATAGATGCAATAGCTCATTATGTAAACTTAAATTATTATAAAAGTAGGTAATTTTGTACTATATATGTCCAATTTGTGTCTCATTTTATTTTATTAGATTTAATATGTCATTATTTTATCAAACGTAATTTATCTTGCTGGACGTTTTATTTGATGAGTAAGTCTACAAGAGTCTTAGTGTAAATAAATAAATTATGGACACAATCATCTCTTCACACCATAAAGGTCAGGCCACACAGGCGCGACGTGCCGAGCGTTCCACTGTGGCAGGGTTCATATGAACTCGTATATTACAAAAATTGTGTGTGTGTGTGTGTGTGTGTGTGTTTGTGTGTGTGTATGTGTGGCCAGAGCATTACACATATTTATTTTTGAATAAAATTAAATATAGATTTTCTAGTGTGGTTCCAACGACACTTTACTAGCAATTTGAAAAAAACCCTGGTAGCCTGGTAGGTAGTCTAGGCTCTACTCTATGAGTAGAATTACTGACTGAGTGAATATAGTTTTATATTTAGAATGTGTTTTGAAATAGGAGTTTAGAAAGAATAGAACATCTTGGGAGTTCGACATGTAACCTCAGTAAGAAAATATGTAAAAAAAGTACATTAAACCAAGTTTTGAAGATTATCTCAGTTTATATTTATAAAAGTACCTCTCGCTACGCAACACGAGCTACGTCCAAGTCTACAGTACTGCCTCTCAAGCAGAGGGAGTGGGTTCGAATTCGGACTTGCACCTCTGAGTTATTCGAAGTTTGTGCAAAATGTAATCAAATTTACCATGAGCTATTCGGTGAAGAATAACTTCGCGTTGAAACGTGTAATCTACAAAGCAATTTAATGATATGTGTGAATATCGAGTTCTTAGGTTTTCGCGATTGTTATACATAGGAATGAAACTATTTTTCCGGATTTAAATCGCGTATATTTGTTTTTTCAAACAAACCGACGTTTCGGGCCCTTTACAGGTCCCATGGTCACGGTTGACTGAGGTGGTACAGTCTTCAACCAGTTATGTCTAATATTGATGCAAACCACCCTATTTTTTCACTATAGTTACAATAGTTATTAATTAAATACCTTATTTTTAATTTTACAAAGAAAACATTCCAATTTACGCTACATTAAGTTTTACAAATTATTTTATTGAATGAATTTTTTTATTAAGTTTAATTTATTATTAATTATTAATAGAAATTAGAATAAATTAAAACATATTAATTAGTACTGCAGTCTTATGTCTGTTTGGGATTTTTCATTAGAGGAAATACTGGATCCCAAACTGGTGGTACGGAGAAACCATCTTCCCTGTTGAAATTAGGATGTTTTTTAATTTCAATGGCCTCTCGCAGCATCCTGGGCAGATAACGGACTTCTTTTGCAAGGACCTGGGGTTTGTCAAACTTCATTGAATGTGTAGGTTTATCCATAACATGCTCACAGACTGCAGACTTGTTTACGCGACGGTGTTTGACATCAGCTATATGTTCTTTGACGCGGGTACAAATACTTCGCTTTGTTTGTCCAATATAAGAGAGACCGCACTCACAGTCAAGCTTGTAAACTCCTGCATCCTGTAAGGGGATGTTACATTTCACGGGTCTCAGGAACTGAGAAATCTTCCTGAGGGGCTTGAAATAGGTCTTGATAGATGCGCGCCTGAGGACTCTTCCGATCTTGTCTGTAACACCTCTCACGTAAGGTAAGATGGCAGGTCTTCGCTCGACTGTTGGTGGTTTCACACGGGGTCTGCGGCATTGGCGTGGAATCCTCAACTTATTCGCATGTAGGACTTGCTTTATATGCTGAAGTTCCCCCGCAGATGATTACTGTCGCAGACACCATATGCTCTCTGAAACAAAGATTTGCCCACGGTAGCTAACTGGCTAGGATGGTGATGGGAATTACCATTGAGGTACCTATCTGTATGGGTTTTCTTTCGAAATACAGTATGGCCTAAGGTGATATTAGGATTTCTTTTAATTAAAACATCTAAGAAAGCTAAAGTACCACAATTCTCTTGTTCCATAGTAAATTGGATCTTAGTACTAAAAGAATTAAGATGGTCCAAGAAAGAAGGTATGCTATCTTTAGGTAATATTGTGAAAGTATCATCAACGTACCGTTTGAAAATCTTCGGCCTAGCTGGGGCCATGGGTAAAACTCGCTCCTCGAAGTCTTCCATGAAAATATCGGCAACAACGGGAGATACCGGGGAGCCCATCGCTATACCGTCAATTTGTAGGTAGAATTCATTATTCCACAATAGATAGCCTGATGTTAGGCAGTGTTCTAATAATTCTGCATATTCAATGGACATATTATGTTCCCTTAGCTTCCTACGTACAATTTCAATGCAGTCTTTTACTGGTAGGTTGGTAAACAGCGACTGAACATCAAAACTGACCATGGTGTCATCATCAGTTAACCGTAGATCTTTGATTCCACTGATGAAATGGTATGAATCCTTCACATGTGTGGAAGTGTTCCCTCTCAATGGTGACAGTACCTTTGCCATGTGTTGAGCCAGTTTGTAGGTTGGTGTGTCAATCTGGCTAACTATGGGACGGAGTGGGGTTGACACAGGCTGACGCCTTATGTATTTTTGGTAACCCATACAGTTTTGGTGATTTCACGGCGCAGGGCACAAACGCACTTACATCAAGTTTCAGCGTATCGGAGTGCTTAGATATTAAGTTAGTTGTTGTTTTTAATATCTTGGTGGTAGGGTCTTTCTTCACCTTTTTATAAGTGCTTTCATCCGATAGTAAGTCAATGAGAGGTAAAGAATCGTAAGCGCTAAATAGTTTTTTTTTTACTACACAGCGTTTTAAAGAGAATGAGGCTCGTAATTGGACATTTAAAATCAACCTTAAGGTCGAGTAAATTACGTTAAATAAAAAACAATCGACACGATAGAACTTTATGTTCTCTTACAATAGTTTGATTTTTAGCATTCTAAAGCAATATTTGTAAAAATATCTAAATTCCAAACTTAACTGGACTGTGTAACTTAAGTGGACTTAAGATCTCTTACCTCTCACCTACATACTACCTATTATTATTATATTAACAGTGTATTTGTATTGACCGCAGGCAGTTCCAGCGGGTCTCCAGGCGCTCGCACTGGACGCCGCTCCTCTCTCGCCCTTACGCCGGAAGATGAACCCCTAGTCGATGTCGCCGTAAGTACCGACCTATTATGCTCTATTAATACAAAAATGATTAGATTATCTATTTTAAACAATAAATGCTTAAAAGCATTACTAAACATATTTCATGTACCTACTTACTTTTACGAATTCCTAATGTATTAACTGGCGTCTCACGGCCCGTGCCTCCGCGGACCGCGTCGCACTGCTCGCGCCAACGCGCCGTGGGAACACGGGCCGTTGGAAGCTACCTTTATAAACATAATGTTTTGTACATGAAATCAAATAACTTTTACTATTGGAGGTATTTTTAAATTGCACAGGACAACAGGTCTTTCATTAATTCCACGGAATAGCATTTTTTTGCAATTGCTATGAGAACGTGAACACCTTTAAAAAGCGGTCAACTAATACATTAGGTCCTTATATTATGTCCCTTAACATGAACAGACGCAATTTACTATTTATTGACGCATAAACACTGTTTACATAATACGATTCATAATTTTATGTTCTATATTATCCGTGTGGTATCAAAGTACAAATGAATGACATTGGAGCACGAAAGGAACCTTGCAATGGCGTACACTTTATGTCGTCTGCACGTGTAGCGCATCCTGGGCAACAATTGACGAGTACGTTACGCCGATCGGCAAATCCTTTCATCACGATGGGAAACATGTCCCACATTTCAGCATGGCGGCAACTACTAGTGACGCGGTACAACGGCAATAATTTCTGGACGACAATAATAAATAGAGTAGGTATGCCGTGGATACGATAATAATGGGGCGATGCCAATCTTGCCAACTAAGACAGAACAGAAGTTTCTATAAACTTAAAACTTGCCCGCCCTTTCTTAAAATGCGCGTTAAAATATTATTTTTGAAATTACCATAGAGAATATATATATATATATATATATATATATATATATATATTTAAATTAGCTCTAGAGGTACTTACCGTACGGAAGTTTTGGTCAATGCATTTATTAATTTCCATCTAAACTCTGAGATAAGTTTATTCATGCTCTAACAACACACTATAATAAAATATTAATGATAGAATGTCACTACATAACTTTCATTGCAATCTTGCGTTCTTGAAAACCATTAACAGAAGCATTCCCAAAGACGTCAGTTTTGCATCTTTATAAATAGTACATATAAATGCAAAGTATACACCATTCGTGTACTGTTTACACAATGATATAAAAAGTTGGAACTTGGAAACAGATGAGTAAAATAAAACTTTACGAGAACACGAATATCATTGAAACTTTAAGCAATTGCCTACGAATTTAAATTCATGTTAAGGGACATAATATAAGGTCCTAAAGCTGACCGCTTTTTAAAGGTGTTCACGTTCTCATAGCAATTGCAAAAAACGCTATTCCGTTTATAAAAGAGTTTTTAGAAGATAAATTTGGTATCTGAATTTAGTAACTAGTCGATAATAAATATAATAATATAAAGCTGTTGGCGTAGGTATATATCAAATTATATATTAGTAAGTGTAACAATTATGAGACTAGTCCTCTCTTCTACTATTTGCTGTGCCCTGTTCAGGGTCCATAATTTGATCTCAATATATGTAAAACATCTTTAATGTACATTATGGAACGCAAATAAATAAATTAATAAATAAATAAATTGAAAATTTATATAAGAAAAATAGACAATGCGCAAGTTTTAGTTCAAATACTTGAATTGGTAATTGCTGCGGATTAAGGAGACTTGTGAGAATCTTTAATAATTAATAACAACGCACACAGTTATGGCCCCATACGCGGTCGCGGGTGCCAGGAACACACACATAGACAATCACAAATTACAGCCAAACTCACGAGATAAACGATCGATTTGAACCCGGGACCTCTGCGTGGCAGACCAGCAAGGTAAGACGTTTGCTCACTACGTCCGATTCGTATCAGGGGGCTAGTCTCGATCTCCGTCCGACATCCGTCCGAAACAATTACTGCCAAATAAGCAATACTTGACCAAATGAAAAGACGCGTGATGCGAATGAAGCTTCATACTGGATACTTGTCTTTTAATTTTGTCGAATATTACTTATTTGACAGTAATTGTTTCGGACGGATGTCGGACGGAGATCGAGAGTAGACCCCCAGTTCCGAATCAGAGAAAATGACGGACGGAATTGTCACAGGTGTCCGAAGTGTCATTTTATCTCCAGGTGTACAAGCGATATTTATATTTTCTCGCATTTATATCGGACTTAGTGGACAAGAGACGTTCGAAGTGGGTCCGATTTTTCTAGATTTATATAGTCTCGGACATATCAAGAAAAATCTTAGTTAAAAAATATATTTACGCTCTAACAAGAGTATTGAGCTTCTTGTACAACTTAACAGCATAACTATGCAGACGCTGAACGCTACCAGTGTTCTGTGTACCAATGTTCATCCCTTTGATTTTACTGTATGTAGGTACAAGTACATCAGGATATAGTTCTTAAATTTCCGCATTTACTACACAACGGAATTAAAACAATTTTTATTTTGGATTTAAAACGCCTTTAAATTGACGCTTGTAGAAGCGTTGCAGTAGCGCTTCTGTGGCGCTGCAGCCGCGCCACTACTAATTTTCTTACAATATCTAAGTTTACAACAGTGGCACGTGGCTGTCACGACAGTGGCACTGCAGCTACGTTTCTAATTGTTATATGAAAATTAATAGCCGAGCATTCTCGGACTAGGTTTCACTACCAAATTTCCGTGGAAATTCGTATTCGTATTTTATCGTGAAATATTATACAATATTATAATATTTAAATAATTAAAATTGCCACGGAAATTAGGTAGTGAACACTAGTCCGAGAATGACCTTAGCAGTGCGGCTGCTACGCCACAGTTGCGCCATTGCAGCGCTCCTATAAGCGTCTAATTTGAAGATGCCCTTAAAATCGCACATAGAAACCGAATGTTGGTTTGTTGGAAAAAACAAATATACACGATACTTGAGTTATAAAAAATTTAATTCTTCTGTTTCGTACCTTTATTACACAAATCTTAGAAAAAATCCCAAAATAAAGTGAGTGATAGAAATTTTTACACATAAATAAATTGTATTAAGTAGTTCCTATTATTTTTATAATTTTCTTGTCCTAAAAAGCACTTTTGGCACAATATGATCACTTATTCCTTTATTATAACCAAAAGTAGGACTTAAGCGTGAAACCCACAGACAGCGGGTGCGGATCGGGTTGGGACCACGGCGGGTCTAATTGTGCGTCCGTCTAAATACACGGAATTAGACCCGCCGTGATCCCGACCCGATCCGTTACCGACCCGCACCCGCTCTCTGTGTGTTTCACGCTTTATTGAAAACTGAATTCTTTCATGTCAGTCTCATTACGTCATCATGAAGATTTCACACATACTTGTCACAGATTATATTCTACGGAGGTACGTGCTTCTCGGCTACGGAATTCCCTTATAGCTATTTATTGAGGTGCTTGAGTCGCAGCAAAGGTTGATATGATCAGAGTCACGTTCATCATAACAATCTTGTCGAGTTTATGACGTGACAATTAACATAATTTGAATCATGTCATATGAAAATATTACTAAAAAATATGTACGGCATGTAATATGTCACATTTCTATAGGAGTGTAGTGTATGTGGATTGTCTATGTTTGTCTCGAGCGCACACGTCACATGATGCGGCCATGGAAGGGATCAGTCAGTGTTCGATCGTCAACCAGTAGGTTCGTGGTGGTTCGTATGCCAGCCAAATACTAATACGCTGTTACTTGTAGGAGCGGACACTACATAGAGTTACAATTTATCCCTTAAATTTGCACTCGTGGTGTAATTAGGCCTTCTACAAAATAACAACTTTCCAGTAGAAAGGTTTTAGGATTCTACGAATGAAATTAGTCTTTTATTTATCTTTATTTTTATGATACCAAGTGACGGTGATGGTAAGCGACACGCCTATCCATAACAGTCCTGTCCAAAGAAGTTGCAGTGATTGTTAGAGCTTTAAATCAGAAAGATCTGAGGAACACTGCCACTGCGCCCGTCACCCTGAGATATAAATCAACAAGTCTCATATGCCTGTAACTTCACCAACATCCTTACCCTTCAAAACCGGAACGCGGTAATGGACACGTTACTGCTTGGCGGCAAAAATTAGTAAGGTGGCAGTACTTCCCTGGACGATCTCTTTCACAAGGAGTTCTATTGCTAGTAAATATAATATTGAATTAGTGTATTGTAGAGGTATAATATATGTATTCCATTTACTCGACTAGTGTCGACTGATACGAAGTCTGAATAATATTAACTCACATTTCGTGAAATAAAACAACTTTTAAAGGAGTTGGCCGGCAATGCCAAGTCTTAAAGGAAATAATATTAGAAGGAGGAGAGATGAAAGGCTTTTGCAGATGCCTCAGTCATTATCGGGTTATTGTTATTGGTTGCTGCCTCTGAATTTTTTTCACTAACTGCTACCGTGGTTGATACGGGTCTTTCAAATGGAGTACTGAAGTGTAAAATTCTCTCTCAATGGGTTTTCAACTGAAAAATTATATTATTGCAAATTGATGTAGTTATCACCTTTTTTTGTGTACTATTATTCAGGTTTCCTAATTAGTAAGAAATTTATTTTCTTTGATAATTATCATTATTGTGATGTGATAATTATACATGCTGAGTCATAACTTTGTCTCTTTAGTATTTGACTTAAAAATAACGTACAGTGAGATGTCGAAGTTATGACGACCTCCGTGGTTCAGTAGCTTGCTTGCCGGTTTTCATGGTGTCGCCATCCCTGAGCTCCCGGGCTCGATCCTCGGCTGGGTCAATGTAGAAAATCTAACTCTTCTTCCCGGGTCTGGGTGTTTGTGTTACCGTCATTGTTGCCAATTTCCATAACACAAGCGCTTTAGTTACATAATTTGGGATCAGAACAATGTATGTGATGTTGTATAATATTTATTTATTTATCATTAAGTTAGAAAATTAAATAAACCCAAAGAAAAATCTTTGACAAAACTGTTT